AAGGAAGGAGGAAAAAGAAAAAATAAAAGTATGAAAGGAGAACAAAATAAAACGAAGTGTAGTAATGCGTGTTGACAWACACTGTAAGGATAAAGACTTCATAAATATCTTACAAATCTTTCATTATTCTGCACTACTTACTATAAATAGTCTCGGTAGCTTTTTTCCCACATTTTCAGGTTGGAGTATTCATAGAGATGACATGCAAATGTAATGAATCCAAATGCAAACGCGACGAAGGCAAAGATTCCTAATAAAAACACAAGAACAATTATGTTATTATTATTCAATATATAGCTCGTACTGAATGCAAAGAATCAAAGCTGCATTTAATACAGCTAACAGCAATAAACGTACAGTTCCCCATAAAAGGTACGAACTTCGTGAAATTTGACAAAGTTCAACAAAAACGCTGTGAGCGCAGGTATAGAAGAAAATTGATGATGTCTCAGCTAGAGGCAATAATAAGTAAAGGTTTTCATGTGGCTTTTAAGTCAACAAAAAAAATGAACTTTTCAAAGTCTTTTTAGATCACGTCTAGAGAAATATCACAGAAACTGAAATTTGTTCTTGTGCAATAACAGACAAAAGAAAGAAGTTGTGGAAACTAGCGCGTAAACTAGTGTGAGCTGCGTCGGTGTTTCTGAAGAAACAGTTGGTGTAAAAAGATAAACACTGTTAAAAAGTAGGTGAAACAACTTACTGACGTTTTGGACGTTAATCCTTAATTCGTCGGAGTAAAGAAAGACGTTATCGCGTAAAACGTAATAAATTCAAGCGTAAACATCACAAACGCAACAAAAACGCAAGGACTTACCAACACGTAAGATAGTTTCTTTTATCTTAATGGATGCTCTACTATTCAGTAAGTTTGGATTTGATTTACGAAGACGAAACNTGGCAACGATGGTAGTTACAGTGACACGACTATCAACTAAGTATTTTTAAGGAGCCTTGTTACTTCCTTCATCCATTCATTTTCAATTCATTTCCATTCATTAATTCATGTTCATTTTATTACTCATTCATTCATCCGCCCATCAACTTATCCCCCCACTCCCCCCCCCTTTCAAACATTTATTTAATTCGCCAATTCTTTCACCCACAGATCCTATCAATCAGTATTTACCTTTTGCAAGAAAGACTCCACCGATGAAGAGGTTAAGACCGAGCGGCCCAAGCAAAAACAATGCACGCATATTGGCRTCCTCGTATCCCACGAAACAGATACCGCTGATCGAATTAGCATCCACCTGAACGAAGAATTACACAACTTTTAGATAGTTTTGACAACTACTACTAATAAGAGTTACAGATTTGTCTTTAATGCTAAAGATATCTTTTCCCCTTTCAAAGCAAGTGCCGGACTGTTTATTTCTTGACCAAAGACAACAGACATCTCTTCTTCACAAAAATTTGCTTCAAAGTCTTCGACCATATGGCTATATGCACGTTATAAAATAAAATATAAAGAAAATACTGTTTAGTGTTACCAGGTACTGTTGTAAACAGCGAAAGATTAGGCTAATTGTATATAATTATCTGTAATAAACTTGTATTTTTATTTAGGAGCATATAAAACAATTATGAGAAATCGCTCGTTGTTGATATTCAGTTGACTTTTTTTGGATAGTACAGATTGGTTTTCACTTGTGAGATTAGCAGTGACGACGCTAATGCGTGTGTAAACTAGCAAAAGGAGAATGAAGTCGTGAAGGAAACAAATTGAAACCTATCAGTTCACTTCCTGGACCAAAGGCGTTACCTTTTTTAACATCAATGCACATCCAGTAAGAACTGCAGGCAGCGACCATGAGATGCCATGAAAGTAAAATGTTTTTCCTGTAAAGTTGTCTCTTGTACTACCGAGTGTTTTAAAACAAATACACCAGGCATAAGCCAACACGACAAACCATATGATACCAGCCATCGAGAAATAATAGACCAGAACGAAGGTTAGCACACACGCAAAGCAGTCTGGYTCGCTAGAGAAAAAGATAGTAAATGAATTAATAAATAACTCAAATGAACTAGCAAATGAGTGTACAAATGATAGGTTGGTGGGTGGGTTGGGTGGTTGGTTGGTTGGTAGGTTGGTTGGTTGGTTGGTTGGTTGGTTGGTTGGTAGGTTGGTTGGTTGGTTGCATGATGGATTGGTAGGTTGGTTGGTGGATCGATTGGTGGGTGGGTTGGTTGATTGATTGGTGGATCGATTGGTGGGTGGATTGGTAGGTTGGTTGGTGGATCGATTGGGGGTGGGTTGGTTGATTGATTGGTGGATCGATTGGTGGGTGGATTGGTAGGTTGGTTGGTGGATCGATTGG